TTTACAACATATGCATTTAATCTGTCGTTTTCCTTGAATTGAGAGTTATGCTTTTCTATTTTTTTTATAATGGTTGGAAGTGAGTAAAATTTGTTTTTGCACCATACTCAAATTCTTTGCGAGAGGTGAAAACATTGAAAACTGATGCATTCTCACGAACTAATGCGTCAACAGAACCCCGTCCAAAACTCCACAGAAGAACCGACGAAGGTAGGATCACCGAACTATACCTGTTTGCCCATAATTCAAATATATGTGATAAAAAAAGCAGATATGGTTCGCCAAACTTCCACACAATGAATCCCTTTATAGCTCACCCATTCTTTCTTGATGCTTTTGTAGATGGTAAAGAAAGGGAAAAGTCTTTGATTACGTGATTGTATCTACTTCGATTATGTATTCGATTTCCAATTTTTAGAACAAATTTTTTTGGGTGTGGGAGTTTAGAATTTCTCCTGATTTTGACATGTATTAATGCTTACGAGTTCTCTGGGTTTGGCAACAAGAAATGGAGAAGAAATAGAGGAAGAAAAGGAATTGAAGTTCAGAGAGCGGATTGAGATAAATATGCTCCTAAAAAGCTAGCTATTTTGTTTTGAAATGATGTCAGGATTTATTTCTTGTAATGATTCCCTGTCTTCACATAATTAAGTGAAGGAATTGATGTTGCCATTACTTTTTTTGTACATTATAAGGTCGCCTGACACCTCAAGAACGAAGAGCAAAATGATCTATGCAAGCTCCAACAACACGTTCAAAAGGGAATTCAATGGCACTCAGGTGGAGCTGCAAGCAACTGATCCAACTGAGCTGGGTCTTGATGTCTTCAAAAGCTACACAAATTATATTTCTCTGAGTCACATCAGAGTATGAAATAATCTACAGCCAATTCTGCATTTTGATATTATTTTATGATTATTTTGGTGTGCAATTTCGGTTATGTTGTCGCTTCGGGCTGGATAACTATATTGAATTTGCTTCTATATTTTGGAAATGCACTCTTGGCTTTCTTATTCCTTTTTTCAAATTGTTATGTTCTCA